AGCTACCCTGTTCGCTGATCTTCTAATGTGAGAAAAAGAGATGTTTGAAAAACACATAGCTAAATCTCTTATATCATCTGCCAACAAACCCGAAGAAGAGTCACTCGAGCCCTTCAAGATTTCTGTTATAGCACGGGAAGCATCAGACTCCACTTCAACATCTCTCCATTCGGTGTCCAAAAGCCAACTCAACGCCTCTCTAATCCCAATCAACTCTGCTTCCAAAGCGGACAGACCCCCCTGCCTCGGACATGCTACCCCAGCCAAAAAATTGCCTTGATCATCCCTAATGCACCAGCCCAGACCGCACAAACCATCGCGGACAGCGGCATCGACATTAATCTTCATCCTCCCCGCTGATGGACGACACCAAGAGTGGACGATCTGCTGCCCCATTGTTCTTCCTCCCCTCCTGGCTGACTGTGCTTGAAACCAGCCTGAAACATACGCCTCAGATTTAAGCATGAACTGTTTTGCCGAAGAAGAAGAATTTTGCCAAACCCGTCGGTTTCTTTCACACCAAATAGCCCAACATCCCCAAACAAGCTTCACGAGATCATCTTTGCTTCTAGACCTGAATTCTTTCTCAATCTGCTCCATGAACTGAATATCACCGTGAGCAGACCATTTCCAGGACACTGCCTTCCACGCCTCAATAGCAACCGCACAGGTCTGAAAAACATGCTTCACAGATTCTTCTGAAGCTCCACACAACCCGCAATATGCAGGAAAATTGACCCTGCGAGACTGCAAGTTGTCCCTGGTTGGCAGACAACCGTTACACATCTGCCAGAAGAAGACCTTTAATTTCGGAGGAATTTTCCAAGTCCACATGACTGTCCACTCGTCCCGTTCAACCGAATTAAGATCTCCAGTAAGGTAGCGGTAACAGCTCTTGACACTAAAATGACCGTTATCCTCCCACTTCCAACATCGTTGATCCGGCACCGGACGAAGACTAATAGGGATCCCCTGGCCCGAAGCATCCCCGTAATCCAGTAAAATCTCCTTTATCAATGTTGCCTCGTCATGAGAAGCCCTGAAAAAAAGAAGACTGTCGTCCGCAAAAAATAAATGAGAGATAACAGGTGCCCCCCGAGCAACTGCCACCCCCGTGAAGGCTACCCATAGACTCATATTTGCGAATCAAAGCGCTAAGACCCTCTGCCACGAGAAGAAAAAGGTACGGCGAAAGAGGATCTCCCTGCCTGAGACCTCTCCCCGGCTTAGGCAGTTCAATCTCAGAATCGTCAAACGGTATAGAATATGAGACCGTCGTGACACATTCCATGACCAGCCTTATCCACCGTTCTGCAAAGCCCAAGTGTCGTATCATACCTTCCAAGAAAGGCCATTCCACTCTATCATATGCTTTGCTCATGTCTAGTTTTAGGGCAACGTAGCCAACCTTCCCCTGGCGTTTCCTTTTCAGGAAATGCTGAGACTCGAAAGCAAGCATGATATTATCTACAATATTTCTTCCAGGTATAAAAGCACTCTGCTGCTCAGAGATGCATAGATGAAGCCATCTCTTCAGCCTGTTAGCAAGAACCTTCGAAAAAATCTTATAAATAACGTTGCAAAGAGCAATTGGTCGCCAATCTCCGAGAGTCTCAGGTTTATCAATCTTTGGAATTAACACAATATTAGTATGATTGATGTTATCTGGAAGCTTACCCGACTCAAAAACCTCCTTGCAAAAATTCACAACATCCGCTCCCACCACCTCCCAATAATGCTGGTAAAACCCCGGGCTTAACCCATCAAGACCTGGCGACTTGTCGGGAAACATGTCGAATATGGCTTCCTTCACCTCCTCCCCTCGGATAGGCCGGAGCAAGTCTGTATTATGCATCTCTTCAAGCTTCCGATCCACACACCCGAAGATGAAGTCACCGCTCCCTGGACCTGCAGTGAATATACGGGTAAAATAATCAGTTATTAAGCCCCCTACCGCCTCTTTATCCTCCTCCCATCTACCGTTCTCCAGTCGAAATCCTTTGATTTTATTTTTGCGCCGTCGATTTTTAACCGAGTTGTGGAAATAGCGAGTATTAAGGTCCCCCCCTTGAAGCCAAAACTCCTTGGCTCTCTGCCTCCAATAAATATTTTCTTGCTCCAAGAGATCAAGATACTCCAATTTAACTCGCTGAAATTCCCCTTCAGACCATTTATCAGAACGGCCTCGCAGATGTTCCAGCCTCTTCCTGCAAAAATTGATACTCCTTCCATAGGACCCAATCTTCTTGTACCCCCAATCCCCTACCGCTTTACCGCATGACTCCACCTGTCCCATAATGCCTAACCCTCGTCCGAGTCCCCAACTTCGTGCAACTATCTCCCTGCAATCAGCTTCTCGAAGCCAGACATTCTCAAATTTGAACTTTCGTCTCCTGCGAATACTTTGTGAAGGAATCAGTTTGATATGAAGAGCTAAATGGTCGCTTGGAGAACCTTCAAGAGATTCAGCTGATGCTTCCCCGAATAACTCCAGCCAGCTTTCCGAAGCGAGAATTCTATCTAGCTTTTCCTCGACAAAATTTGGAGAGCCCCTCCACCTCTCCCAGGTAAACTGGTATCCCTGGAAGCCAAAATTCTGAAGCCCACACTCCCAAACAGTTTCCCGGAAACCCCGAATAAGCCACGACGGGTGAGGGACCCTGCCGCGCTTTTCCGAGGCTAGCATGATATCGTTAAAATCCCCCATAACTAACCATGGAGAATCTGCCCCCACGCTCAAGGATTTAAGAATCTGCCATGATTCTCTACGCCTAGATCTTTCTGGACAGCCGTAAAAACCCGTAAATCTCCACTCAGGTGCCCCATCCTCCAACTTCACCTTAGCATCAATGTAGTGGTTTGAAGAACCTGAGATATGTATCTGGACTCCTTCACCCCAAAATAAAGCCAAACCACCTTTATGACCAGTGCTGTCCACACAAAAATAATGTTGCATACCCAATTTTCTCTTAACATACTCAATTCTGTTAAAATTCGAAAACGTCTCCATCAAGAAGACTACTGATGGCCTCTTCAAGTGAACAATGTCCACCAATGCTTGAACTGTCGTGGGGTTGCCAAGCCCCCGACAGTTCCAACTTAAACAACTCATAATTCTCGGCGGGTCTGGAGGCCAGAACCCGCCGCTTCCCCGTTTTTTGAATAAGAGAATTCCATACCTTGCTCCACACTAGACCCCTTTCTCAAAGATGAACCTACAGCTTTACGCTTTTTGGCCAACACCCCATCAGTGTGTGATGAAACATCAACTGCCTCCTCTTCAACCTCTGAAATATTTGGAACGTTTCTGGTAGGAGGTTGCCCGTGAATGAAGTTCCCCTCCTGATCCACAATCCACCTACTGCCTTTGCTCGGTCCCCCCCTATTGCTCCCAGCTCGTAGCCAGCCCCCGAAAGGCTTGTCTCTCCCTGCAGCAGTGAATTCAAAACGCCTGGGACACATTCGATCAACATGATCCATAGAACCACATATGAAGCAAAAATGCGGTAGTCGTTCGTATTTTAAATCAACCCAAAGGGGCTCTCCCCTTCTTTTGAGTTTAACCCGACGTTTTAAGGGAGTCTCAACATCGAGGGAAACGCGGATTCTCATAAATTCTTTCCAACCTCCTGTGAAGTTTTTCTCATCAGCCGCTACGAACTTCCCTACTTGACTGCCAATTATCTTTGCAATATCTTCTGTAAATAACTCGAATGGTAAATTATACCCCTGAATCCAGAACTGAACGTGTGTCAATGGAACCGTGACCGGGTTCTCTTTAGGCTCCAGTTTATGTAGGACCAACAGAATATTTTCGAAACACCAAGGTCCATCCTCCATAATACGTTCAAAGTCAGCCTCATTATGGAATTGAAACAGAAACCGACGATCGCCTACTTCACGAATATGAACCCCTCCCGCAGGTCTCCATACATCAGCCATTGTGTCCCTGAAGAATGGGAACTTAACTGATTTGTCGGACAACAGTCTTCCCACCATGCACAGTGACGACTTAGCCCGAGGTTCCTCCGGTATTAACTGATCAATATCCACTCCCTCGTCTTCATCATCCTCTAGATTCATTCTAGCATAAAGATCTTCCATCTCTACTGCCATCAGTGCACGAGATCACCAAAACTTGGGAAGAAAGCGGCTCAAACAATGATGACGGCAAGCCAACCCTAGACGACTAGGGAGAGAAACGAGAGGTACGGCCAACTTATTTCTTACACATAAAGGTATGTCGTAAAGAATGTTAAAGTTTGAAAAGTCAGAAATGACTTCAATCTAGTAATGTAGTGAGTGTATACTTCGTATGAGTTTTTGTTGTTTCGTGTTTGTGCTATTTTATAACTTAAATAAAATGGTTTAAATCTTAACTCTCACAATATAACTATAAATGAAATTAGAAAAAATATTTAACCTAAGACAAAAAAGAACGTTGATATTTTCTATTATATTTAACAATTTGATGATATTCTTTTTATATTTTCACGTTAACTTAGTAAATGATTCTTCAGACTGGGTGCTTGGAGGAGATTTTAACATAGTTTCAACACTTTCTGAATACAAAGGTCCATCCAGTCCCCTGGTTAATGACATGATGGATTTCTTGCATTGCTGATTGTGAATTGATACAGCCTAATACAATTGGATCCTCTTATACGTGGACATGGATGCGGGCTAATGGTCGTGTTAATTTAGTAATATTTTACCGATTTGTCCATTAAAAGTTATATCCAATCATAAAAACTGAATTTCAATATAATAAAAATATCAATAAAAACAATTAGAAATAAAAAGCGATATTCACAAAAAGACCAATACCATTGCTTGGGAGGTTGTATTTTCTAGAATCATTTTTATAAAGCAATTCATATTGTGCAACAACTTTTAATTTTCACAGTAATATACTCGTAATACGTAGTATGCCGTAGTCCATTTCTTGTCATATATTCTCGTTGCCAGTATATATGTGATATATCGTGTTTTTTTGGATAGCGCCTTATCACTCAAACACTCAACAGAGGCAACTGGAAACCCAAAAAGGATTGGTATTAGCGGGTTCTGATACTTGTTTGGTCAATGTTGCTCTATACAATGTGCATACGATAATTTTAAAGCCAACACATCTAATACAAACATATACTACGTATATGCTCTACATGGATGACGCCTAAACCAACCAATGTGAGTCCTAAGACATGGTGACCCAACAAGTTGGGGTGACCGGCGAGGAAGGCCATTGCAGATCCAAATCAGGTGTCTGGTATCCACAAGGAAAAAACAACCTCTATATTTTGCGGCATGTCTGCAAACGAATAATTAAACAAAAAAGGACACAGTTAGAATTCTTAGCTTAAACTCCGTATAAAAGAACGCCAACAAGAGACTGATAGAAAACCAAAGGCACAAAGGAACTGGAACTTTACATTGACTGATGAATCCAATTGGACCACTATAATCTCTGCTTCACCCGCCTACCATTGGCATCACTCCCATCTTGGACACCTTCATTTAACAGTTTGGTCGTGACCCCACCAACATGCTCACCCACCCTAGCTACATACTCCAACATTTCTGTCAAGATCCTAGGACAGCTTTCTTTCAAGTATTCAAACCCATCTGTCTGCATAACAGCTGCAAAATAGTATATACATACTCACGCTCTGAGTTCCCTCATTAACAGAGACCTCACACTTATGCAAAGAGAGATTTTAAAAATTCCCACCCAAGCGAACCCCACTCCCAAAGACCATTCTAGTAGGAACTAGGTCTGAGACTGATCTTATGTTCTCTAGAACCATGCTGTTTGGATGGAAGGTTCGGAGGGGAAGGTGTTTGAATGCCTAGTCTACATGTTGTTAAATAAATTTTTTCTAAAAATGGACAGAATATTATTGAAATTTATACGATCACTATGTTAAACGATCAGATTGCCAATATTTCAAAATAAAAGATTTAGTGTGATAAATTAGTATTCACTCAAATTTTAGGGATATATTTATAATCATAACCATATATGATTCACATTATTTGAAAACAAACACATCTTTTCCCGCCCATACTATTCAAAATCAAACAGTCAAACTCACAAACAGACCCCAAGTAAATACAAAATAATGCCTTACATGGTTTATGAGTGATCATTCCATATATATATATATATATATATATATATATATATATATATATATATATAGGGTAAGGTTCAAGTGAGAAGAACCCTTTGGGTGAGAAATGAGAATGAATCTCAGCCATTGGATTCGACTAAGTTGCAGTAAAAGACACTTCATGATGCACTTAAATATGCAATCTAGCACGGTGGCATTTCTGTAAATACTTCTGAAAAATCCGTATTACACATGTCTAGTGCAACAAGAAGCTATTTCGGTGCAACGCCGTCAAATATTAGTGCAACATGAAACAGTTTTAGTGCAACATGTGCAAAATTTAAATATTACTGCAACATAAAGCCAATTTTAGTGCAACTTTGTAAATCCAATGGCTGAGATTCATTCTCATTTCTCACATTAGATGTATTTCTCACCTGAACCAAAATCTCTCTCTCTCTCTCTCTATATATATATATATTCACGTATACGTGTGTGTATATATGTATGTAGAGCAAGCCCGCAAAAAGTTCCTTTACGTTGAAACATACCTCTAAGATTTTCAGGCAACGCAATGAATTTGAGACAAACACGTTTGAGCTGGAAACAATGATGTTGTTCAGCTAATGCTAAAGTTGTTGCAACCGTATTGATTGCAACACCCTCACATAAATTAGCTTCACAAAGCACCCTAAGCCTGTCTAGACCATACCGATCAGAAGCTGCAAGCAGATGTTGAGTCATCAATGTTGAAGCCCACATCGAGTTCAAACCCGTAATTTCTCCCATATCTGGTAACGCATCCCAGTATATAAAATGCAACAAAGCCTGAAATTATATGGAGGGATATGTTCTATCATGCATACTCAACACATTTGTAAAGCTGCTTTTGAAAGAGTTATTGAAGGACATATATGTTGTGTTAATTTCGGTCGAACTCACCCCAAAAGGAATTACAGATCTTCCAGAGGTGAGTATTTACCACACATTAATAAGGTGAGTGTGTGTCTCATATTCATATTTTACACTTAAACAAAATTAACATCCGATAGGGGATACTACCCCCCCCCCCCCAACCCTAAACAAGTTGAACAACAAATGGGATGGACAAGTGGGTCCTAATTGACCCTAATAAGCCGCCAAGTCATCCCACAACCCACCATAGATATGGCAATATGATGAATGGGACCCTAGGACATCTCAAAAGAATGCACAAAATGTGATGGTTACAACACATTAGTTACTATGACTACATAAAAATAGACAATTGACAGGATATGCTCTACATACAGCCACACAGGTTGAAATGTTGAGCAGCTTCAACATAAAAAATTCAATACAGATTAATAGCTATATTAGAATATCAGCCAAGAGATAAAAATTTTAGAAATGTGAAGAACCTTAAAAACAGGGGCCTCCATATCCTCAACTTTAATGTTTGTCTCCCGATCCTTCATTGGACCAAAAAGTTGTGCTCTAAACACAGGTGAGCGAGCAGCGAGTACCAATTTGTGGGCCTCAAAGGTCTCTCCATTAACTTCAAAGTTCACATCGGTGCCCTTTCCACTTTCCAGAAGCTGCCCAAAGTGCAAGCCAATGTCTGAGGGTGGCACTGATATAGAGTAGGTCTTGGGTCCCTCCGTGTGAGACCTGACAACCCCAACACAACAATGAATCTGAAGGCAATCATCCTTCAGGTAGTCTGATGATTCAAGAGCGCTTCTTTTGAAAAATCTTTTATAACCCCTGCAGAAGTTATAATTTTCAAGAGTTATTACGTCATTCAAAGAGTAAGTTTGAATGGAACAATCTATGACACAACTAACCAGGTTCACACTTGTAAACACACAATAGGGATGACTTATCTGGCATATAAATATTTTTGGTGCCAAATACATGGTCCCATATTATTTATATCAATGTCTATAACTCTACAAGTCATTGAAAATACTGGGGAAAGTTATTTGGGGTAAAACATAGTTACATAGAGTAAAGTTTGAAGGAAAATAGATTTGAGGGGAAACAAACGATACTAATTTATATTCTAACTCAATATAGTTATTTTTAGATATTTTTACACACTCCATTTGCTTTTCTATTTCTGTTATATTACTACCAAGAAATCTAAATCTAAAGATGCAAAAAAACATATTTCATTTTGATTTGAATGAGTTTCCAAAAGTAAAGGGAAATATTCCAACAATGGTTCATTTGGAAGAAACGGCAACCATTTGTACGCATCAAAGAAGACATAAAAAACAAATCAAACAAACACCTAATCACGAAAATGAAAAGAACACTTCATACAAAATGGATGACACCTCATCCCCTAAGGCCCCCAGAATCGACCGGACAGTTATCTGGGAGGAGGCAAATTGAGCTTTGATCACACACGGATGGAAAGAGAGTAGGCTTCCATACCAAGTCTTTGCTTGGAGTTGAACCCGAGACTTCTCCCTTGTGTCACTTCATAAAGGGAGAGGTACTCAATGTTTTAACCATTAACATCATAAGTTGCCTATAATCGGGATGGATATAGCATCATATTCTTGGGCGTGAAAAGGTTCTCAATCTTCTTAAAAATTTAAGAAGATAGCACGGATTCACGTGAAAAGGTTCTCAATCTTCTTAAAAATTTCACCCTAAGTCAAACTTACATATTAAGGGCACATTTACTTTCTCAATAATGATAGTAAGTTACTCTGTAAAAATAAGGGAAAAATAATTTCAATGAAACTAACCACATGCTTCCACGATATTTGAGAGAGTAAGGGCCAGTATCCAAAGCCCTACCGAAATGGCTATGAACCTTATGCCTCTCCTTGCCGCTCTGGTCAATAAGAGACAATTCAAAAAGCGCCCTTACATCCTCCCCCTCACTTGCAAGTGCAATGAATAGAGACACGTATGTACCATTATCCTCCACACTCTTCCCGTCAGGATAGAAATAGATAGCCCACGAGAATCCGCCCACCTTGAACGTATCGGAAGCTATGTACTTCCCGATTCCCATCCCCTTCGACAAAGAATATCCAGTTATCCTGAATTCGTGTGATCCGTTCACCGTATCGGTTATTGATGTTGACGTAGTTACAGGTAGCGACGAAGAAGGTGAAAGCCTGTCATTGTCTACCCTTCCCATCCTAGATATCAACCAAATTTTGGACAGTTAGTATTAAGTGTCCACCCAATGCTCCCGATTTGGAGTTCAATTGCTGTAAAAACGATCGAGTGGTTACGGAAATCAGATCCACGGTACAAAACAAAATTCAAATGAATTTGAAAAATACAGCCTGAGATTTAGGGTAGATCAGAAGACAGTATGGAGGCAGAAGAAATCTAGGGTCGGAAAATACGAATTTCTGGGTGCTGGCCGGACCCTAAATTTCTACTGTTTCGGCAGGAAAGGAGAAGAAGACGAAGACCAAGCGGAAGGAGAGAAGAACAGAAGGTCTATAAAGATTGGGTGGGCCGATGATTGAATTGACTCTTTAATTACTACTATTCCACCCGTGCGTTGCACGGGATGAAATGTGCAAGATGATATAAATGTTAACATATAAATGTAAGTATTTATCATATTATTATTTTTATCACACGAATAAGAGTTCCCACAAACAAATAAAATATAATACTTCCTCCGTTCTTTTTTAAATGCAACAGTTCACTTTTCACGCTTAACAACGCACACGTTTGACCGTTAATATCTTTCATTCCTTATTAGAAAAATATATAAAAAATCAGTTTTTGAAAATTTATTATAATAGGAATTTAAAAATATTTTTTAAAAATTTAATTCGAAACACATTAATAAATAAAATGTAGTCAAAGTAGAATCTGTGAATAGTAAAAAAAGTCATGCATTGCAATTAAAAGAGAACGGAGGTAGTAGATATTAAAAGTTTAAAAAACACACATTTTATAAATTAGCGAAAACTTCATTGTAGACAACATTATTTAAACTACGGACTATTTCGTAAGACTCGTAAGACTGTATTGTGATACCTTCATACAGTAAACACATAAGCTGCAATGACATGACACAAGTAGAACTTTGATGCCATAATTTCTACCACTAATCAATTCCTCATTCTCTGTGTATAGACTATCCATTACTCAAGGTTGTAATTTGTGATTTCAACAACCTATTTAAAGAAAACCCCATATTTTCCTTGCAAAAAAACCCCATATTTTATTTATATGAAGAAAGTTGGCAAGAATGTTTGTTGAATGTAATAAATAGACTTACCAAATATAGCTCAAGGTTAATTTTCCTTTTTCATTTATAGTTATGACATACTATTAGTGGTGGACTCGGGCGGGTGGCCCGACCCGGAACCGGCCCGGGACCGGCACTGTTCCGGCCCGGCCCGACCTGGTGGCCCGGCTAGTGACCGGTCCAGGTAGGCCTGATCCGAGGGGTTTCCGGTCCGGGCTCGGGTCACCCAAAACATGAACCGGCCCGGCCGGCCTGGGCCCGGTTCCAGGCTTTTTTTTCAATTTTTTTTAAATCCCCGGGTTGGGCTGGGTATTTTGGGCCATTTGGGGTGGTTTGGGGGGGTTGGGGGTTAATTAGAAAAAGGAAAAAATATGTAAGAGGCCCGAGGCCCGGCCCGGACCCGGTGGCTACCTGGGCCGGTCCCGGGACCAACATTTCCTAACCGGCGGCCCGGTCGGGCCTAGGCCCGGACCGAGGCCACCACTACATACTATATTGCTAATGTTGGAACTTCATATTGTCCTTTTAAGTTTTAAATAGCAAAGGCGGTGTTAATTTCCTAAATTTTGTAGTACACATACACAGTTTTCATGTTATGTAACTAAAAGAACTAATTTACCAATTTAAATAGATCTTTTTCAAGCTAAAGTGTTACTGCCCCTAATAATAGTTGGTTGCTTTCTTCAATGGAATCATGATAATCTTATTGCAGCCACTGACTATAAAATTAGCACAATTACAAATGTAATGTCCAAACCCAATGATTTTCTTATTTGTAAGGGTATATTTAATGATACCAAAAGATATGTGAAGCTATAGCAATATCTATATAATTTGAATTGAAATATGCTCTCAACATTAAAATTCAAAGATTGACTTCGGTGGATCATTACATAATTACATTCAATACAAAAAAAAAACTCTATCAGCTTAGTCATTGCAAACTTGGTGGAAGCCATCTAACATTTGTAGATGTTTTATAGAATCAAATAGTATTAGAAGCATATCATAAAATGACATATATGGTAAGCACATCAAACTAAAGGAACTGCCATTTACACACAAATCTGGAAATACTTTTCGAGTAGATCTTCATTTTATCTACATTATCCCGTCGATTGAATATCCTAGTCAACCAATATTTCTAGAAAACAAAACATGAGAAAGGGTCTAGGTTTTCTCATAAAATGCAAAAGAACTGGCAGAAAAAGTGAAATAACTTATGTGGTTTAGAATGATGTAGTTGTTTTGACAATTCATGTGTAAGAAATTGTGAGCTATGACGAATTATGGAATCATAGGTCAATAATCCTTGAAGATAAAAAATTGGGTTGCCTGAACTCTTGCATCCATTGAATCAATTCAATGAAATCTCCTGAAATGTGATGAAAAATATAGCATTATACATCTAGCGATTAAGATTTAGAAACATGAAACATCTCTAGACCATAAAAGTGAAATTTAAGAATGGAATAACATGTAGAAGAATAGTACATATACAATGGGAATTTTATGCACTATTAGATTACAATAGTTGAATATTCCCAAATCTTGATATAAAGTTTAGGCATGGAAAAGATCGGCAGATTGATTTCAAAAGAGAAAAATAATGCATTAAATCTAAATGACGAAACTGATTTGGAATGAAAAAAGAGTAAAAATAAAATAAGCTGAACATACTCAATGAAGTGAATCAATTATCTGATCCAGCATATAAACCGAAGGTCATGAGTGAAGGTGACCGCCGATATGTGGTGCCAGTCCACACGTTTAATATTATGATTTTCCTCATCCATAGATTTTTATCATCTGTTTTTGAACGTCTGCTTGTATATTCATTTGGATGTGAACGACTGCTTGTATCTTCTGCTTATATCACTGCTTAACCCATCAGGATTGCCAAGCTGCAAAGAAAAGGAAAAGGAAAGAAAGGTAACAGACGTACAATTTAAAAACCTGATTAAAGTCGTTGGTTCATAATAGCGCAATCGAACAGATGTGACTATGTGAGTAATATGGTAGATGAGCGGGACGATGTTTTTAAAGTTGTAGTGCTATTAAATAGAAGATATAACAAAATCATCGAAATTGAAACTTACAAAATTCGGTTAAATGAACCTAAATAAAAAACTAAAAGACGACCCATATGCGCAAATAGTCCATCAATATTCATTTCGATTCAGGAATTACCTTCTACATGAAAGATGTATGAAACTCAATTCTATCTAGCCCTCTAATAGCATCATGTTGCCGGAATGAATTTGGAGGAATAAACAAAGACAAACGAAATTTAAAACAAAAGGTAGAAAGGAAACGGGAAAAAAAGAATAAAAACATGAAATATCCCTTGTGCGCGTTAATAGTAGCCACTTCTGAACCCTTCTCAAGGTTGTCATAGTTTCATCGATTTACAGAAAGCAAGAGGTTGTATTACTATAACAGCTTAGATGACTCTAATGCAATCCATAAATTCATGTTTCACTTCACTGCGAAAGATGTTGTGATTGAGGATTTGATATCCCTACTCCAAACCATAAGGACAAATTAGTTGTTATTTTGTATAAGATAATACGGAGTACATGTACATGTCATTTTCCTTGACAAATGAGTAATCACAATAGGAGATATCTCTTGTACATCAGTTTCCAATTTATGTAGTTAGGGAACAATATATAAGTATCACATTCTAAAATCTAAATATGCAGCATAGTTAGACAATCTTGATCTTGAAATTAAAACAAACACCTTGCCGAAAAGATTTTACTCCAAGATTTTGAACTCTCTTTTGCCCAGCTCTGTCCCATACTCCCAAATCGACATACCATTGAATTCCTTCAAAATGTGACAAACAACAATGTAACAGATTACTTAGCTATTGAAAAACAAAGAAAAAATAAACTCAGTTACACAATAAAGAGCTCGGCCGTTACTTTGAATCTCCTTTTTTACACAATAGCAAGAATTGTGACTTTAGACTGAGGGGTGAACCTCTCATGTAAGTATCTACAGATGGTCAGATGCAATTAAAGACGACCACACATACCAACTAACATTCAAATTAGAACCGAATAAATCCAAACCAAATAATGAGAAGAGTTCATATAACTTTTTAAAAATGTCATTGCAATGGTTCCAGATTTGGATCAGAACCAATGGGCATTTTACCTCAACTGAAACATTTTGCAATACGAGTTGAACTACTACTACAGCAGCAATTGAGTGCTACACTTTATGCAGAATTAATGCCAATAAAAGGATTTCTTAGATGAATTATATGGAGCTTGGTGGTATCATTGAGAAGATTTGTAAAACTTCTTTCAGAATAATTGTTTGTATTACAAAAAAAATAGTTTAGTTATGTTTTTCCGGTTTCGATGAAGAGTTAGAAAAGGCAATTATCATTAATAGCATTTTTAAAGTTATGATTGAGTAAAGTCATGTCAAATAAAGAGAATAGTTTTTATCCATTTTTAGATATTTCCATTAACTCTACTTGTCTGGTTCTGATGAAAAGTAAAAAACAACTACTATTAATAACTTTTAAGAAATTATGGCAAAGAACAAAATAAAACACATGTTTAAGCATTTGAAATTAGTAAGTCCACACTATTGAATCCCTCAATTTCTAAGTAGGCTTTGAAGTTATTGAGGTGTAATAACAACTGTTACTACAGTAGGAATTGAATGCAGCAGTTTATGTAGAATTAGTGCTCATTATAAGACTTAGATGAATTGGCATTTTTATATACTGGGCGCCCCATAAAATTCTTGCCGAGTTCCCTATTTGACTTGGGTCGGAGTTTAAGAAAGTGAGAATGAAGTGGAAATGTATGGTTGTGGTTGATTAAAGAAACATTTAGTTTAACTTTAACTTAAATTATACCTAATGTCAATGCTCAATATATAGTACGTAGTATCTAGGATGAAAAAATTGTAACTTGATTGAGGAATTTTAACAAACACCTTCCTTACAAAAACTATTACAACGCTCTAAGTGATATAAACCTAGCAAATCGGAAATCAGTTCACATAAAAGATGGATTATACGTAGTATGATTTAGAAAGATAGTTTAGTGAAAAAAAAAAAACCTTTTGGCGCAGAATTACTTGACAAATTTCCCGAGGCGGATGCTTTCAGCTACGTCTATAGGGAATAATAGGCTAGCAGCCACTGGTTTGGGTTTGAGGAGCACCTTTCATTTCTTCCCAAGAAATATGATTTCGGTTAGATGATTATTTCCAGGCAGATTGCTAGAGGTAGATTCTTTTCGTCTATATGTTGATTTCCGGGTAGAT